CCCCCTCCCCCCCCTCGGAAATCGTCTCGACGTTGTTGTTTTTTTTATCTATCTATCTACTCTACTAATGCACGAACGACGACAACGGAAAGGCAGGGGGGGATTGGTGTATTATTAGAGGATTTAGGCTTGAAGGAGTTTATGTATTTATATGTATTTATATATGTGTGTGTGTATTTTTATATGTTTTTGTCTAGCTGGATTAGGTACCTGATGCTGATGCTGGTGAGGACGCAGAATCGAATGCTAGTAGTGAATGATGGGATGGGTGGATGGATGGATGGGTGGAGTTGGAGAGGTTGGTTAGGGGGGATATGCTGATTAGTGCTTCTCTGGTACGGGATGAAGAAGATCAAATTGGAGAGTTCGTGATGCGTGCGGCGGCCGTTGGGGTTGGAAGTGAAAGTGAGGAGGACTTATTTGTTAGACTCAGGAGTCTCGCTAGATGGTACCGGTACCGGTACCGCTATTGTCTACTGTGCCCACGGGCTCCACTCCTTCTCCATACCGTAGTCGGGAAATCTTGGCGCACTTCTATCGTAGGTGCGATAAGAAAAAAATTTTATCCCAATTCTGATCCCACTCAACATCTGTCTCCCACCACATCACAATGGCGGGAGTTAACAAGCCAGGCAGTGCGTACCCAGACCCGTCTTGCGAGCCTCCCAAGCTAATCATTCCTCGACAGAGCCGAAGTCGAAAAGACGTCCCGTTCGCCTCCGGGAGAGCATCAAGAAAGCGTCGGCCGCCAAGCAGAAGAAGGACCGCAAGGCGGGAAAGAAGAATCCAGAATGGCGATCGAAATTGAAGAAGGACCCGGGAATCCCGAACCTGTTCCCGTACAAGGACAAGATCCTCGCCGAGATTGAGGAGGGCCGGAGAAGGAAGGCCGAGGAGGCAGAGAAGCGCAGAGCCGATGCGAAGGCCACCAAGACCGGGGAGAGAAGCGGCGAGCAGGTCGAGCGCGAGGTTGAGGCCCGCATGGAGGGTGTGGAGGGGGACGATGCCATGGATGAGGATACGGACGAGGATCTTGACGAGGATGCGAACCCCATGGCGGCCTTGCTGGCGAGCGCAAGAGCTGCAGCTCAGGAGTACGAGGACGACCTTGAAAGCGACGACGAGGTGGGTGAGGATGACGCGTCGGACTCTGACGATCAAGAGGCGGGCGTTGAGCTATCTGGACTGCCCACACGGAAGGATGGCTCGAGGAAGGCATTCGACAAGATCTTCAAGCAGGTGGTAGAGCAGGCCGATGTCATCCTCTACGTCCTCGACGCCCGCGACCCCGAAGGGACCCGGTCCAAGGAAGTCGAGCGCATGGTCATGGCTGCGGCAAGCGGTGGGAAGCGGCTGATCTTGATCCTCAACAAGATCGATCTCATCCCCGCCCCGGTCCTCACGGCATGGCTCCTCCACCTCCGACGATACTTCCCTACGATCCCGCTCCGGGCTTCTGGCCCCGCGCCAAACGCGCACACGTTCAACCACAAGCAACTGACCGTCCAGAGCACATCCCAGACGCTTTTCAAGGCCCTGAAATCATTCGCTGCTGCGAAGCAGCTCAAGCGTGCCATCTCGGTCGGCGTCATCGGGTACCCCAACGTGGGCAAGTCATCCGTCATCAACGCTCTGACTTCTCGCATGGGGGGCGGCAGTGCCGCGTGTCCCGTCGGGGCCGAAGCAGGCGTCACCACGTCTCTCCGCGAAGTCAAGATTGATAGCAAGCTGAAGCTTCTCGATTCTCCCGGCATCGTGTTCCCCAGCGCCGGCGACGGGCGCAAGGTCGCGAAAGAGGAAGAGCAGGCTCGTCTCGTCCTCTTGAACGCCGTTCCACCCAAGCAGATTGAAGACCCGGTCCCGGCTGTCAACCTGCTGCTGAAGCGCCTGTCGGGCGCGGAAGGCATGATGGATAAGCTGATGGCTGTCTACGGCCTCCCCCCGCTGATGCAGACCAACGGAGACCCGACGACGGATTTTCTCATCCAGGTGGCGCGTAAGAGGGGACGTCTCGGCAAGGGCGGAGTCCCGAATCTGAACAGTGCTGCAACGACGGTCATCACAGACTGGAGAGACGGCCGTATCCAGGGCTGGATGGACGCTCCCGTCCTGGCGATCGCGCCGACCGTCGCGGGTGCCAGTGGTGGTGCCGCCCCTGCAGGCGGTGACCAGAAGGAGATTGTCACGGAGTGGGCCGCCGAGTTCAAGCTGGAGGGACTCTGGGGTGACGGGAAGGCCGAGGAGGTTGTTGCGGATGATGCCATGCAGGAGTGAAGGTGGCAGTTTCGTTTGCTCGGTTGGTTTCTATCTTCATAGATGGAGTTTGAGATGAGGCGTTCTAGGCTGGGTGGGCTGGATGGATGGGCTGGGTGGGATGAGCTGGCTGGGATGAGCTGGCTGGGATGAGCTGGCTAGATAGAAATTGATGCAAGAAAAGCTGGCTCTCTTTGTGTGTGTGTGACTATATATGTATGTATGTATGTATGTATGTATGTATGTATGTAATGAATGCCAGCAGCAGCACCCTCGGAACCGCTCTCCTATGGTTTCTTTCTCTTTTTCTCTCCCCCCTTTC